ATTTTATTGGGAAAATTGAGTTAAATTTTGTAAGTCTATGTTTGGTTGAAGATAAAATATTGATGGAAAAATGAGTTGCAATTACCAAAAAACCCTTTTAAAATTTTTGAATTTCAATAACCTTTACCAAAAAGGTCCGTGAGTCTGTATCTATGACCTCTGTCCATTTGTATTTTTTGAGTCTGTGTGATTTGCATTACCATACTATTATCGTGAGGCATTAGTTGCAGTTATGGTTTAGATTATGAGGGTATGATTGTCAACACATTGTTGTTTTTTGTTCCATTTAGCTGGGCAATTCCAAATACCACATGCCAAGTGGTATTTGTGCCAATGTATTTTGTGCAAATTTATAGGCTAACATGGATTGCTGGGGGAATGAAATTGGTGAGAAAATATTGCAATCTCTTCTACCAAACATGATATACCTAGATTCCCAATCTCAAATACCCATCTATCTCTCAAGATACCTCCAACCAAACACTACTTTACATGCGTTGGTTAGATACTTTGACTTTTCGAAGTAAATTAATTGAATAAATAATAGTGAGAAGATTCGTTCATAATTTTTTTTTACAAATTACACTAAGTATGACCGGTCATATACTCTTGATTGAAGTATGACCGGTCATATACTCTTGATTGAAGTATGACCGGTCATACTTAGTGTAGTTTGTAAGAGTTTGTAAACAAAAAGTTTGTAAATATAACCTTCCCCTAAACATTATAACAAAATAGAATAGCTTTACAAAAATTTCAATTTGAAAGTGATCAGGATAAGCACCCTTGTGTTGTCATTAGGGGTAAAAATGAGTTAGGTTGGGTCGAACTTTGTTCCGAAAAGCCTAAGCCTATGTCAAAAAATTTTAATTGACCTGGCCCGACAGCGTAGTACGATTCTAACTGTTAGCCTGACTTGGACCATTTATAAAAAATAAATAAAAAACAAATGATCGGCCTGTCCCGTTAGCGTGTTAATTTTTAACTTTCATGCATAACATGAATCAATTTCACAAAAAATCCAAATTTTGTTGTTAAAACAAAAATCACAATTTCAATATTCAAACAAAATCATGAATCACAACAACAACTTATCACAATATGCATTTAAGTCACTTTCAGAAACGAGATGCCCAAATTAAATTACATATATTTCATCAGATCCAACAAATCAATCTATACTATGTAAATTAAAATAAATGCATGAATCCAACAAATGCATCATGATGCTTGTAATAGCCAAAAACTTCTCATCATCTTCTCTACACTGCAAATACAATTTCAAGGTTACATAAGTTGACAAAAATTTGTAAATGTAAAAAATAAAAAACAAGATTAATTAATAGAAAACATAAGATTAAAAAAAGAAAACCTTTTTATACCTTTTATTTTTTTCAAGTCATACTTATTACGTAGCCAATCTCCATCATATATTAAAGCTTGGATGATATCTTCAGCTAAGATAGAACGATAAGTATCAACAACTCTTCCTCGAGCACTAAATGTTGATTCTGATGCTACTGTAGAGATTGATACAGATCTTATGCCACTCCCAAATGATGCGCCTGAGTTGACTGACTTGGATTGAGCCTTTCTAAAATTTATTCCATAGTTTAGGGCTTTTCAATAATTGTTAATTATTTTCGTTTTTTGTTATTTTTGAGTGTGCGTTGATTGTGCATTATCTCATTTGATTGCGCATGATTATAGTTATTTACTTTTTTTGTTATTTTATTTTGCCTATTTAAGGCTTGGAGAACTCTATTGGTAGGAGGTTGTTTTTGGTTAAATGAAGTTAAGAAAAGAGAAATAGTATTTTCTCGCAATCCTTATGTTCGTTCTTCTTTCTGTTTAGCCAATTGGTTACTGCTTTGGCATTACCAAATGTAGTATTGATGGGGATTGAACCTTGGTCATTCCACAACTTGCTCAGCTCACATGCACCAATTAAACTATCACTTTTTGGTACTATTATGAATAATATTATTTTATTTTATTTAAAATAAATAATATGATATAGGTCGGCCTGTAAGTTTATAGGTTCGGCATGTAAAAAAAATCTATAACCTACTTACTAAATAAGCATTTTTAAAAGTTCGGGCCTATTCCATTTAACTATATGTAATAGGTCGAGTCTAACCTAATATAGACTAGGCCGTAGGTCCCTATAGGCCAACCAGACCTATTTATACCCCTAGTTGTCATGTGGGTTAAAAACTTTTGAAAACAATAAAAGTAAATATAAAATGGAATCACTTTCAAGCAAGTATCATTATCATTTACACGTTATGCTCAAAGTTTCTATTACTGATTGAAAATCATGAAAAGCTTTCTCTCGGTCTTTACTTTTCACGACTTCTTGAAGTTTCATACTCTAAACAAAGAGTGCTCATTTCTCTCTCCGTTCGTTAACTTTCTTCATTTTCGCGTGGCTTCAGAAAGAGCTGAACGAAAAAGCAAATCAAGTCTTTGTCATTCTGAAACGCTGATTCTAATTTTTCTTCAAGAAACGTTGCTTCTCATTTTTCTTCAAGAAAAATCTGGTTCTTCATGTGAGATCAAATTTCTTGAATCAAATTTTTTTGGGGGCTTTTTACGTTTTACTCTAAAAACTTAATTTCTTTTGTTGTTCATTGATTTGGAGTTGTATTTTGAAATATCCAGAAACTCAAATCTAATTTTTGGTACCTCTCTTGATACATTCTAAAACTGAAATTTCTTGCACTGATTCTTAGATTTGAAGCTTTATCTTAAAATTTTCTAATTCTCTAATATTGTAATTTTAGGGATTTTTAACACATATTCCATTATCTTGAATATTTGCATATGTCATAAATTTCTTGGAGTTTGGATTGTGCTTAGTGTGATATATCAAGTGTGAAAAGACACTGTAATTTTTGTGTATTTCTCTTATGATAAATCTGAAATTCTGTATTGTGTGTTCAAGTGAAGTGCTTGTGTGTGGCAAATTTGTCCTAGGTGTGTTGGGTTCAACCAAGTGAGTTGGCGACCTTTGCTTGGCTTGAGATTGTTTCTCAAGACCTGGAGCCTCTAGAATCCACTAAGGAGTGTGGAGTTCTTGTGTGAAAGGAATTGGTGAACTCTTACATTCATCTTGAGAGAATTCTTGAAGCTTGGAATAGTGTAGAGACTAGGAAGATTTTTGATATTTTGATTAAATGCTTGTGTTGAGTGTTTGTAAAATGCTGCTTTTGTGATCAATAAAATATTCACGACTACTTCAACCTAGATGTAGCATCCCATTGCACTAAAGGTGTGAACCAAGATATATCTTCTCTGTCTCTGATTTAAATTCTAAATTTTTTGTATAGAGTTTATGAGTAACACTGATTTCTGGTAAGTTATGCTATAACTATTTTCTAGTATTATAATTGTGTTGCAGCAGGTTTAACTATTCGATTTTCTGCTATATTTTTAAAGTCTTGTAGGCTTGTAGCACCTTATTGTTCTGATATAAGTTCTATAACACTTAAATTGCTTTTCTGATTTTTGGACGTTAATCAATTTTTGTTTTGTGTAAGAAAGTCAAGCTGCGTTTGTATTTAGTATAAAGGTCAGATACGTTTTCTGTTGAAATATTTCATATAGCATTGTGTTACTCATTTTGTGCATATAGGGATCTTAAAAAAAATAGCAACATTATTATAATTGTGTGACTGTTATTTGAATTGAATTAGCAAAATTATTTGAGAATAGTTAATCTAATTGTGTTGTGTGCTACTCGAACTGATAAGTTCAACTTTGTCTAGACTTTACAAATTAAAATATCTATTGTAAAAAGTGCTTTTAAAAAATATAAAAATTGAAAACACTTATTCACCCCCTCTAGGTGTTTTTCAGAATCCTAATTAAAGAAGTCACTTGCCCAACAAGTGATATCAAAGCTTCATGCTCTGAGTGATTGGCCATTAGCCAAATAATAAAAGATCCTATGGCTTCTTTCCATCAAGATATTTATCTTGAGGGTGGTTCCACCAATCGCCCTCCGTTTTTCAATGGGATTGACTATCCCTATCGAAAAACTCGGATGCAGATTTTTCTTGAATCGGTAGATCTTAAAATTTGGTATAGTATAGAGGAAGGATGTGAGCCTCCAAGATGACAATGGTAAAGTTCTGATTAGAAAACACACATAGTTTACTAGAAAAGAATTGGAGAGAGCCCAATACAACTCAAAGCAAAAAAATTAATTGTTAATGCACTTGGAAATGATAATACTGCAGATTATCTTCATGTAAGACTGCACGTGAGATGTGACTCAGTTTAGAAACAACACATGAAGGTATTAATGAAGTAAAGGTTCTGAACAAAATGCATTAGCTAGAGAGTTTGAGCTATTTGAGATGTATGAGTGAATCCGTATTTGACATGCAAAAACATTTCATGCATATTTTGACATCAATGAATGCTTTGAATATTTCCCATAATGATGAATTGCTTGTTAACAAAGTGCTAATATGTCTAAGGAATGAGATGCAAAGGCTTCAGATATCTATGAAGCTAAAGATCTCTTCACGATGTCTGTTGCTATCTTGTTTGGTAAGCTTCAAAAGTACGAGTTGGAGTTGAATACAAGGGCTAACCATGAGCTAAACAAGAAGAAACAAAAAGGCCTAGCCCTCAAAGTTTCATAATCTCATTCAAAGGAAAGCAAAGAAAGCAAGCAAAGTAAGGAAAATACTAATACATCGTGGATACACAATTGTATTAAAAATATGATAGGAAAAAAAAAATTGCCTTTATGTTCTTACCCATTTCGAATCAAATTATTTGAATAATCGATGAATGAATAAGAGAAAAATAAAATAAAAATTACGAATTTATTATGTAGAAGTGGTGATTAATCAAGCTTTTCATGACTAAATATTAATGGCCAAACTTTTAAATATAAACTGTGACAAAGAGAATAAAAGAGGTAACTACCAACTCATCGGTACTCACTTATAAAAAATGATTACAAGTATATTTACAAATAAAAAATGTCATCCCATAAATCCACCCGTATTAAAAAATAAATGTTTCTTGGGATGATCAGCAACGCGTAGCACTATAAATGTAAGTACTGGTTCGCTCTCAACTCTCAACCTTCAACCTTCAAGTGTGATCAAACAGTTTAATTTGCATTCCATTCCTAATAGAACTCTCCTCGAGATTATTATGAGGATGGGGATGGAGCTAAAAACCTTTCGTGCCATGATAGGACTAGTGATTACCTTTGTCTTGATGATGACGATGATGGTGCCAAAAAAAGTGAGTGCTCAAAACTGCGGGTGTGAGGCAGGGCAATGTTGCAGCCTATTCGGGTATTGTGGGAGCGGTGATGACTACTGTGGCATGGGATGCCAGGAAGGTCCTTGTTATCAGAGTGACACTTCCAACAACGATGTTTCAGTGGCTGACATCATCACACAAGAATTCTTCGATGGTATAATCGATCAAGCAGATGCTAGTTGTCAAGGGAAGAACTTTTACTCTCGAGATGCTTTCCTCAGTGCTCTCGATTCCTACAACGAATTTGGTATTGGTCCTGTGGATGACTCTAAGCGTGAGATTGCAGCTGCTTTTGCACACTTCACCCATGAAACTGGACGTTAGTACTATTATTGCAAATTAAAACTATTTCTCTTCTACATGCAGCATGTGTATATATAAAGCAGGGATATATACACGGTTTCTGAATCGAATCGGAAAAGTGATTCGGTTTGGGCAAATCAAATTGGTTTTAAAAGATGGTTTGATTTTTGAACGGGTTTAGAGAAAATTATTGGGTTCTTAAATTGGTTAAAAAAAAATGTGGTACAATTCAATTTGGTTTGTGGTTTGTGGTTTGATTCATTTAATTTTTTCACACTCTTTAAAGTAAATATGATTTGATTCTATTTGAGTTCTACCCTCCCGAACCAATACCAAGTGGTTTGAATCTTCAGCCAAATTGGTTTTGAAAAAAAGGTTCCATTTTTTAATCAATTCAAATTTTTTTTTTTTGAATTTTTAAACAAATTTTAAAATGAGAGATATCATATACTACCTCGTTTTCCCACTATCATCTACTATTAAAGTTCCATATAATTATAATTATAATATTAAAGTTCTTTTTTACTCTATCTACGAATGTTAGCCGACAAGTTTTTGAAAAGGTTTTAAAGAGAGAAAAGACTCTATCCACGAATGTTAGCCGACAAGTTTATGAAAAAATGTTAAAGAGAGAAAATACACAATTTTCATATTATAATTATGTACTCTCCTATGTACATAGTTATAGTGGATAGAGTAGTAAATGGATGAGGTACTATGCATATCCTCCCTCTTTTAAAAAATGACAAAAGTATTTATGCCCTTGTGATAGAAATACTTTGTCCGCCATAGACACATATTCACCATGATCCCATATCAGACATTGTGAATATGTGTACGTGGTAGATAAATCTTTCTAGCACATCTGTAAATGAAACCCTTAAAAAATATAACTCTTTTGATGCGGATTGAATCATTTTAGAATTTCTTTCAATTCATTTGATTTTTCTCACGTCCTATAATCTAAAGTTAATGAATGATTAGTTAGCATGGTAACGTTTTCTATATGCAGATTTTTGCTACATAGAAGAGATTGATGGTGCATCAAAGAACTATTGCGACGAAACCAACACCGACTACCCATGCGTTCCTGACAAAGGGTACTATGGGCGTGGACCTATCCAACTATCATGGAACTTCAACTATGGACCAGCAGGGGAGAGCAACGATTTCGATGGATTGAACGATCCAGAGACAGTGGCCGAGGACCCTGTTGTGTCTTTCAAGACAGCGTTGTGGTATTGGATGCAAAATGTAAGGCCTGTTATAGACCAGGGATTTGGCGCAACCATAAGAGCTATCAATGGCCAACTTGAATGTGATGGTGCCAACCCTGACACAGTTCAGGCTCGCGTTAATTACTATACAAAATACTGTTCACAACTCGGTGTCGATGCTGGTGATAACCTTGCTTGCTAAGATTATTAGCTACTCGATCCGTGACGTATCTATATACATGTAGAATAATATTGGATATGCTATGATGTGATAAAAACATCATACATAATATTCAATCCCGCAAATCAATTATAGAAGTGAATTAGTAGTGATGAGGAACCGTTTGAAATGTATAAATAAGGGGAGAGATTATATGTTTAATCCTCCCCTGGCTCCATCATATTATAAAAAAAATAAAAATCTTACGGATAAAAGGAATTATGTTGTTGCTTTAGTTACTTTGTGACAGTAAAAATTTAATCGCTAGTATAAGTGCAGGAACCTTCTGCTTGTCAATCTTTAGGATATATATGAAAGCACAGGCGAAGGGCGTTATATTTTAAGCACATTCACTTTATTTACTAACAAGACTTGGTAGTAATCACAAATTAATAAATTTATAAACAACCAATTCAACCTTAAATCTTAAGTTGTTGGGTGAGAACCTCTTTAATAATTTATATTATATTCTAATATGGCTCCTCAGAGAGTTTATTGTGCTTGTAAGGTGGATGATGCATCGGCCCAACCTAGCTAAGAAATTTCACAAAGAAAATAGGAAGCAGCGAGAATAAAATTCGAAACACAAAGCTCTGATATCATATAAAGAACTAATTCAACCCAACGACGGCTTAAGCCGGTGGGAGAAAGCCTTTTTAATGACATATATTATACTCTTAACAAAATTATTTTTCTTTGATCCTGATATCGAGGCCCAATAAGCTTAGCTCATTATAAGAATCCCACATTCAAACTCGACAATTATTGATTGTCAGGACTTTATATCTTGAAAATTCTAAGTGCGTAAACAATGAAATTTAAATTAAGTGAGAATAGCATATAAATACATAAACACATTTTCTGCTTAAGTCTTCCTTTCTTTTGAACATCTCTCACTGCCTAACACTTTATTTCTAATTAATGTTTGCTTTTTTTGTTACGTGTATACATTTTTAAAATTCGACATCAATCTCTCATCTAAGATATAACTTCAGGATCTTGGTCAGGCAGTGGTGGAATATTTAGGGGAAGTGGGGACTAGGGGCCAATGGACGAAAGGTTATGAGCACAACTTGGTTAATGCACAAATTATCACATGTAATGAGATATTACAATTTTCTAACTGGTTTGTGGAATTAGATATCACCCACAAACTTCACCACTCATTGAAGGGGTGGGAGAAAATAAGAAAAGGAAGAGGCACTTCTTGTGCAGCTGATTAGACATGGGGTGAGTTTTGCCTATCCATGAGGAAAACAAATTATACCTCTTAGGTTTGACTTTAGATTAGATGGGTTCCACATACTTTAGATAATATTTGTCTTTATTAACTAAAGATAAACTATATTTATAAATAAAGGTTTAAATTCTCACAAGTATACATTTCTGAAATCCTAACCTCCTTTATTGTTACTTTTCGAACACACATACTCATTAGCTTCAAGCCTATTTTCTCGTGCATAATGATCTGTCATTCGTGGTGGTTGTATCTTTTATAAATTTCGCTAATTCATTATCACTTTTTTTTTTTTTTTTTGGTACAAATTCATTATCACATATTCATATTAATCACGACCCTCTTAGATGGAACACACGCGATAATGGTTCCACCACCAAAATTATTTATGGTTATGCTCCTATCGGATGATTTTAAGATTTTTTTTATTTAAAACGTGAAGTTATTGGCAGATCTCCCCCTCTTTCTCCTTTTTGGGATGGTCATGTCATTGAGTCAAAATAAAATTATGACTTTTCAAATTTAGTTCAATTTGTTGAAATATCGGCCACGACTTCTAATACTAATATATATATATATATATATACATATATATATATATATATATATATATGGGGAGAGTTCTTTTGACTCCGGAGTAAGATTTTTAAGTCTTACTCTCCATCTTAAGCCGTTGATGGACGAAAATCAACGGTTGTCATTTATAATGTAATTAATAATTAATTAATTAATATAACTTCCTAAATTATAACTGTTGGATGGATGGAAATCAACGGCTAGGATAGAGAGTAAGATTTATAAGTCTTACTCTGGAGTCAAATGATCTCTCTCATATATATATATATATATATATATATATATATATATATATATATATATATGTATATATAGGTAAAGGATTTCTCTGGTCAATGGAGATAAGTTATCTCCAGTGAGCCCAAAACGACATCGTTTTGGGACGAAAATCAAGGTATTTTTGTAATTATAATACATTGAAGGGTTATATATTAGTCATTATCATTATAGATTTTTAATCTTATAACCCAAAATGACGTCATTTTGAGCTCGCTGGAAATGGCTTTATCTCCGGTGACTGGAGAAATACTTTTCCCTATATATATATATGTGTGTGTAAGAGAAAAACATTTCTCAAATCACTTGAGATAAATTTATTTCTGGCCACCTCAAAATTATATCGTTTTATTTATTATTTTTTTATATTAATTGATTCATCTTTAAATGGTTATGATTCTTTTTTTTTTCTCTCTTCCTTTATCAGCATTGATCCATCTTAGTACGGTTATGACTTAGTGGCCGGAGATAAAGTTATCTCAATTGACTAGAGAAACGATAAGCCATACACACATATATATATATAGGTAAAATCATTTCTGCAGCCGCTTTACGACAGGTGTATGATTATGATTTCTCATATTTAATGCTTTCATCCTTTGTATGGTTATGTTTACCCGCACTTAATGCTTTCAAGTATAAATAAATATTTGATTGTTGCACGTACAGTAGCTGCAGAAATGTAAATCTCATATATATATATATATATATATATATATATATATATATATGGAAAAATATTTTTCATTTTAAATGACATAAAGTTATGTCATTTTAAGAGAGATATAGACACAAGAAAATATTTTTTATTTAAAATTTAAATTAAAAAAAACCACCCACTTTCTCTCCCATGATTTTCATTCTGTGTCTATCTTTCTCTTAAAATGACATAACTTATGTCATTTAAAATGACAGACATCAAACCCATATATATATATATATATATATATATATATATGACATTAATATTTCTCATGTTATAGGAGATAATTTTATTTTCTACACACATATAAAAGTGTGTGGGCCATGTGAAGAGAATAGACAAAAAAAGATCCACACACTTTTATGTCTGTAGAAGATAAAATTATCTCTTGCAATATGAGAAATATTAATAATTAATTGATATAACTCAATAAATTATAATCATTAGATGGACGAAAATCAACAATTAAGATGAGGAGTAAAACTTCTTATTCTTATATCTAAGGGGTGTTATTTATTTAGAATTAATAATTAATTAACTCATATGTTTCAAACTATAAATGTTAGAGAAATAAATTGCTGAGATGAGAAGGTAAGATTTTTTATTCTTACATAGAAATCAAAAGATCCCTCCTTTGATATATATATATATATATATGGTAAAGATCATTTTACACCAGTGTAAGTTACACTCTTAATCTTGTCTGTTGATCTCATTTATATTTAAGGGCTCAAATTTTTTAGTAATTTGAGCCATTGGATACAAGTGGATCAATGATCAAGATTGAGTGTAAGACTTCTAACTCTTATATCGGTGTAAGAATATCCTGCCACACACATATATATATATATATATATATATATAGTATTCGTATGTGTGTAAGAGAGACATAACTTACAAGTTTGGATGTTAGTAAAGTTTATAGTTTACATTTCATTAAGATATTAAAAAAAATTATTCAAGTTTAATTTTGATATGCTGTTAGTATGAAAAAAGGTTTGTATTTACATCAATAATTTGACAACACATTATTAAATGATAGTGTAAAAAAGTTTTAGGCTTATAATATATTGTAATTAAATTCTATACGTAATCAGGAAACTAATTAAAAAAAATTATTCAAGTTTAATTTTGATATGCTGTTAGTATGAAAAAAAGGTTTGTATTTACATCAATAATTTGACAACACATTATTAAATGATATTGTAAAAAAGTTGTAAACTTATAATATATTGTAATTAAATTCTATACGTAATCAGGAAACTGACAAAATAATTTAATAACTGTAATCAAAAGTATTTTGTTGAATAAGTTAAACCAGAGTTTCACTCGATTCATCAAATTTAATTATATTCAGATTGTTTGTGTTCTCAACGTATTCTTGTCAGTAGGTAAATATAGAGGACCCATACTAATTGTTTGCTTGGGATCTCAAGTTCCTACGCACGATCCCATATTTGTTTGTATATAGATGCGTGTCGTTAATTTCACTTGAAACATGGATTTGAACTTTCATGAATCCTTTATGATTATCAAACTATATATGACAGATACATATCGTTATCAATTTCAAACATAGGCGTTGTGTGAGATTCTTTCGTGTGTGGTGTTGAAATAAAGTGCTTTAAATTTTAAAAAAATTAATAAGAAAAATAATTAATTACCTTTTATTTATTTTGTTATTTATTCACATTTGAACTGTTCATTTTGGAACATGAAGTCGATGTATGTCGAGGATGAGGTCAGGAATAGAGCAAGGAGTTATTAGATATTTTACTTTCATTCTAAACGTCGCAGAAACCATTTATTAATTGCTAAAGTCAATTTTGTCTACACGATCATATGCTCTTATATTAATTCAAAATTAACAAAACACCAATATATTTGTATTCACATAAAAGCAGCTGGGAAAGAAGATTAAAGACTAATTATAAAATAAAAAATGACGCTAATAAATTAAAGAATCTAACTTCTAAATATACATGGATCTTTGCATTTACTAGATCGCATGTTTTCTATGTATATCCTTTGTTTATGTATAGATAGCTATATCTATAGACCATGTATATCTTGATGACCTGAAGAAACTTAAGGAGAGAGAGAGAGATGTGAATATGGGTGCGTATGTGTTTTCTGTTTTTTGGGTGAGAACTTTAATGGAATAATGGATATTAATGACCAGGGCCTTTAGGACTTGGTCCAGAAGCCAAACGCTGCATCCAAAATGCCATGGTGTTCTTGGCTTGCTCATAGGTTGATGAGGTGAATTTTTGAAGGTTATTAGCTCTTGCAAACTCCTCTGAATATAAAACCCTGCTTGCCTCCACCCTACTTTGACTGTGACTCATCAAAATGGCGATGCAGATCACAACAATTAGGATCAAATTCAAAAGGGTGCATGACTTTCCTGATGAACTCATTGTTGGAAACTCTCTTAACTTGAAAGGAAGGTTTGTTGTGCCTAGCTAAGGTTTTTCTCTCAATTTCACAGATTATAAATTGTTAGGTGTAAATATGGAAGCTTGTGGTTGTGGCTTGTTGGTGGTTAAAGGGAGCAGAAAGGGGTGCCATTTTATAGTGTGACAAGGAAAACAAGTAGGTGTGTTAAATTTGTGCTTGTCTTTTTGGACTCGATCAGCTTTTTCATTGGACATTGATTTTAAGGGATTACGTGTTGACCAAGGACTTTGGGAAGTTGCCATGCAATGTGAAATAATATTATTCTTTATATACTTAGGTTCAAATTCAAAATTTATATACATGAAAAAAAAAATATTGTTAGAAAGAATTCTCACATTCAATACTTCACGGTATTCTAAGAGATTCAACTTATCTCCTATTTGTAAAGTGAAAGGATATTATGGAAAACGAAAAAACTAAAATATAGTGCCCGTGATTTTCCTGGTAAAGAGTTCAAGGTTTCGTGTTTGAAAATGTCAAAAGTGTACTAAAATTAAATATGCTGATATTGCGAAAGGTGTCCTTGTTTAACACATCAGGAAGGCCAAATCCTGGAGGGTAGTTTTGGTTAGTAGTGTTGACAAGGTAATGGTGCAAATATATTATATTTGATTACATTTATATTTTAATCGTGTCCTCAAGTCGGGAAAATTGAATTGACTAACTACTCTTGTTATATTTGACCACGCCAGAGGAAACAATAAATGATAAAAGGTCACACCTAACCTAATACTTAAAATTTAACACTTTAATTTTTTAGTTGTTTATGAGGAAATTGAACAACAACTTTTGAGGCTTTCTTCCAAGTTCCAAATTCTAACAAAACTACCCACTTTATTGAGAATTTGGAGGGGGAAAAAAGAAAAAAGAAAGGACAGACCTTTCGTAGTGTTTTTTTTTTGAAAGAGACCTTTCGTAGTTTTGATAAGAAAAGAAAGTCAAACCTGAGTGTAAAGAACAAGTCTCGCGGAAAACAATGGGACATGTAGCATAAAAACATAGCAGGCGAGCATAGATATGCTCCGTGAGAACCGGAATCCATAATTTTGCACGTCTTAATTTTTTAATAATCCAATTAAAAACTTAGCAGGCGCGCACATATATATGCTCCTTAAATTCATCCTCCACCCTTTATGCTATATTTTTTTTGGTAGAATTTATCCTATTGCAATTAATTTTGTACTAATTTTGATAATTAGTGTGAAAGTGATATTTTAAACGTTTCGTTTGTTTTTAGAAATACTATAATAAAGGGAAAAACATAAAAAATACTTACGTATAAGAAAGCGAATGAGTCCCTATATAAAAAATAGTGAACTTGATTTATTTATAAATTTTCTATAACTACAAATAATAACATCTATCACTGAAAAAAAAGAAAATCCAAATTCATAAATAAGTTGATGTAAAAGAAGTAACTTGTAAATATATCTTTGACTGATGCTCCGCTTTTATTTAACATTATTTAATTATAGTCGAATCTTTTCCTTTTAGTTCATTAATTTATAACTGGCTCGTATAACACAGTCAGTCATAGATCTAGCGTGAACTTATTTATTATTGACTGAATGTCTGAATTACATTTTCTCGTTATTCATTTTCAATTATTATAGCACACAAACATTGAAGATTTCGGTTCATAACTTGCAAGTTCATTTGTTTGTTTCTTACGTTCACATTTGCTTTCTAGTTTCTACTCAAAAAGTAAAACCACAAGGAAGAATTTCAGATAACTTACAAATCATGAAGAATTAGCCTCACTTTTATCAGCATCCATACACACTATCCGTGTATGCAGGGTTAGAAATATGCGCTGCACTCAATAAGCATTAATTGGATGGTAAAATAAACTACCAATATTCTCCGTAATTTAACTCAAAAAAATCAATAGTTTTACACCAAGAAAATGACAAATCTGGCTAAGAAAACTGCACGGTGATGCATGTTTAAAACAAAAATATAGCTACCATACCTAACAACCTACAACAGGGACACCCTTAAAATTTCTGAACATAACAAGATTTATGAACAACAGGTACATCCAAACTCAAAAGGCAATCAAAACCACTATCTGATTCGATACATCATAGCTCCTTGTGAAAATTGTCGATAATAAAATGAAGGAGAAAATGTATACAGCTGTGTGCTACTCCTGCATTTTAATCAAAAACTAGGACTGTTGATTGTACATATATTACAATAACATCACGGTGAAGGTATTTAAATGTAACATCATCTCCAGAAGCATGCGGCTAATCAGTTCACTTTTCCATCCAACCTTCGGTCACTAGTCAAACAATATTTTAATATTGGCTGAACAGTGTTGATATGTGAAATAAAGAAACTAAATTCAAGCATAAAATATGAAGAAGAAGAAAAATCCATTCTTTAATATTCCTTTGCTCTCTGCCTCAATTGATCAAGTTCCATCTCAATCTCAGCATCTCGAAACGGAATTCCAGCATTGGAACCACTTCTTCCAGGAGGAAGATCTCCTTTCTGCTTGAAGCAAACAGTCAAAGAAAAATGATATGTAGCATATAGCATATAGGTAATATTATATGACAATTAGTCTCCGACAACTTTACTTTTCTTTAGAATGATAAAATGTTTTTGGAAAAAGATATTATTCATTCCCTTCTTCCACAGGTTTGCCAAGTTCTGGTTGCAAAACAGGGAAAGGAAACAACTCGCAAGGTAGTTACTTAAAATCTTCTCATCCCATTATTACCCAGAAATACAAACTAATTTCCATTTGAAGCATACCTTTGCGCCTCCAGATAATTCTTTCTTCAAATTTGCAAGGTCTTCATCAACTGATGAGCTCTCAAGCATTGCAAACTACAAAAATTAACAATTGATGGGTGCACAAGAAAGAAATCTATAAATTTCACATGTAATTATATAATGACGGAATAAGTTTTACTGCATTTGAAACTCCAAACTCAACAATTCTCATGCACAAGAAAAGGATAGATGACGATGTACAGCAAAGAATCCATATGACCAAAGATTTATACAGCAAATCCCAATTTATATTTGGGAATTAGGCTTGTTCTTTTGGTTTTTGTGGTTCTGAGCCACATTCAAATTATTTCCCAAAGGAAAAGATTTACATAATGAAGATTTCGCTACATAATCACTGGAGCTAAATAGCTTCTTGGGAAATGGCTTCCACATTTTAAAACGGTAAGTGAAAGAGGCAAAGTAAAATACATTCCTATTGAATAGAAAACATTGTTTCAAGAGGCAAACTGCCTTTGACATCCCAGTTGCAGACATTTATTCAATATAAACCAGTGACAAACATAGTGACTCTAGCTATGGTAATAATATTTTAGAAGACTTCAATTTCCAGTATTTTTGTCAGAATATCCATAAAATATCGTATAATATCTAAATTACATCCTAAAATACTTTAGATTATCCTTGATGATCCCTTGGGAATAATTTCCCTATTTCCTTATATTTCATGATTTATTTTCTTATTTTAGCAGTCTCCTATTAGTATAGATAGGGATTAGTGCTTTGTCTTTTGCATCACACTATCACCTCATATCACATCAATATATAATATTATTCAATCTTCTCCCTTTTTCTCCATCTATACACAAATCTCTAATTCTCTATAATTTCAACAATTTTGAACATCAATTTTTCTTTAGATATAGGTTTGATCCCATTTCCCAGAGGAACAAATCTCAGTAAAATAAACCTAGATTTTCTTTCCTTTTCATTTGTATTCTTTCATTTTCAATCTCAACATGTAGTTCACAGTGTAAATAAACTCGAAGTTACACGGTATTCAAACAAGTACTACCTTCCCTTCAAGATCATCAGTAGTCAACTGGCCAAGAGCTTCAGCTTGGGACTCCATTGCCAACACTAATCAAGATAACATAAAATAATTAGAAAGAAATATAACTTCATATGCAATAATAAATCATGTAAAAAGCTTATGTAAACAACTCTAGCATACATGCCATGTCCACTTGTGCAAATGGTCACATACTTTTTATTTGACTACAATTACACTTATTAGGATAAATAAGAATGAGCATGCATATGGTCAGCATGCACATAAATCAGAGTACAGGTTCAGCATGATCATGATATCTCATGATTATGAGATATAGCCCTTGTCAGATTGTTGAAATACATTCAAATTTTCAACTAACAAAGGTTTTGAACCACTAGAAGCTGATGTCAGATTTTCTCCCTGATTTTATAGTTTATGCATATACTAATAGGCTATTGTTGGCAAAAATAAAAAATAAATAAGGAAGGGAAACACGATAGGAAGGATAGAATCTAAAATATCTTTATGGCATGGCAATGAAATTGTATGCTTGCATGTGGTTGGGGGCATGCATCGAATGTAGACCAGGTTATAAGTAGTATTTATATATCCAAACAGCCAAAGAGTAGACTCGGTGAATTTTCTTACCTTTCTCCTCCATCTTTTCAAAAGCTGAAAGAGCACTACTTGTGTTGACATTTCCCAGCATCTCACTCACCTTGGTTGCCGTCCTAAAGGAACATCAATTAACAACCATTAATAAAAGAGCCAGAGAACAAAGACTGGAATAAGTTGGAAGACAATGGGGAAAAGGTTTGAAAGACAAACTTTGCAGATTGAGCTCTTGCTTTCAGAGTATCCTTCTTTGACCTTGCCTCCTGTATCTTACTCTCCAAAAGCTACAAAATGAAAAATTTATAGCTCGCTACTGTGACAAATATATATGTATTACTTATAACAAAAAATGTTTAGCCGATTCCAACCACTTCTAGAAGGATGCACGTTCTTACAAAAAGCTGAATAATACTGCATTGCATCCCTTCCAGCAAACAACTTTTCATCTCAATTTTAAACTGCATCATTCCCATCAGCATGATAGGTCCAACTGGTACATTTTAAGTTTTGGCTTATCAGGCAGAACCCAGGTGGATTACCTCTCTCTCTCTCTCTCTAACTGCTAATTTCTTTATGCCACTACCTTTTCCCTGTCATTCTATTCTCAAGATAATTCACAGTCATAGCTAAAGGTAAGACCTATGTAGCACCGACACGGCACGCAATACGTGACACGACACAATACGACATTCCGACACGTCAATTCTAAAAAAATATGGATTTCGACCATTGGGACACGTTTTAATATTAAATAATATTTTTAATTTATATAACGTATATTTTATTTAATATTCAATAATTTAACAAAAAAAATAAAACTAAACTAACTAATACCCATCAATTTAACCAAAAAAAATTCAAAGAAAATAAATCATTCCATAATACCATTATATTAATATAAAGCAAAAAGTAATAGCAATAAGTACAATAACAACAAAAGAAGAAATTATATAAATCACTACAATCAAAAATCGAACAACAGAAGAAGAAAAAGAAATCGAAGGAATAAGGATGAGTGAGAGAGATAAGAGAACAGACATCACTACAATTAGTAATCGAAAAACAACAAAAGAAAAAATAGAAATAGAAGGAAAAAGCATGAGTGAGAGAGAGATCAAGAACAGAGAGAGAGATAAGAGAGACAGAGAGAGAGATCAGAGCAGTGGAGCACTTACCAGCAAGGACGACAGAACACCGGAGCGAGGGTGAAGGAAGAGACCTTCCGTCGAGCACAACAGCCACTCCGACGGAGAAGAAGAGAGCGGCGACACCCACGATGAAGAAGAGAGTCAGATAACCGCACGAAGGAAGAGATAGCAGCGTCTGAGAAGGACGAAGAAAGAGATAGGTTGGTTTAGGGTTGTGAAGTTTTATTTTAAGATTTTATTAAATGTTTTTAAATTTTTTTAAAAATATATTTTTATTTTTTTAAAAATTTTATTTTTTTTACGAAAATTCTATTTGACCGTGTCGGATACGGTCAAATTCGCGTGTCGAAATGGTTAATGTGTCAAAAAATTGACCGCGTGTCGGATACCGTGTCGGAGCATGTCGGACACTGACACTTCAAATTTTTGCCGTGCCCATGCTTTCTTGGGTAAGACAGCTTTAGCAGAAGTCATAGGAGGACATCATTGTCTGGTCTGTTGTGCCCCAGTGGAAGGCTCAACTTAATATGTTAAGGCTAGGGTTTTCTAAGGATGGAAACTTTAGAAAGCTAGTGGATTGAAGTATTATAGCATATATTTTTGAGGAGGATGAATTTGCAGTTAATGGGAGAGAGGTAATAGGGGTAAATTGATGTCTTTTACAATGTGAACAGTAAAGCATGAGAAACCATGGTTCATGGAATATAGGGAAAATTCAAGTAAGGAACAAAGAGACTTTTGAAATAGAGAATTCAGAATTTTAATATGACATGCCAAGGAAAGTAGGTAAGTGGAAAATTAAAAGAAAACAAAGTGGACGTTGAAAATAAGAAAATTAACCTAAACTTCACGCCTACAGATCCTTCCTTTGGCATCATACCTAGGATTTTATTTCACCACACAACCAAGAATATAGCAATTTTCTATAATAATTCATAAAAATGATCATTCATCCAAAAGAATGCATCACAAAGTTTAAATGCATTTCCTTTAACTCATCCTAGAAGTAAATGGATAGGGAATGAAAACCCAATCCCTTAACAGATTGATAGTTCCTACTGCAACCAAACCCAAAAGGAAAACTTCGACATCAAAAAAATACTCAATCATACCTAAATAACATAAACCCAAAAGAATATAACTCATTACAAGGGGCAGTGAAAATTACTAAAACATGCCTAGAGGAAAATATTAAATGAACTCAAGTAACAGCTCACTCATTCTAAGAACCAAACATATAACTATGATCTATTAAGGTTTTAGGAATATATGACCACAACATAATCAAGAGTCAAAACTAATCCATAATGATAAGCTGAATTGATCTTTAAACTTTGGCTTTCTTGAGGTTATGATGTCACTACCTCAGTTACTCAGCCCAGTGCTTCACAAAAAAAATGTTTTCTAACAAATAACTTTTCAGTGTTTTCACATACTGAGAAAGAATAAGATTTGTCTTACCCGTGTATTAGAGACGAGATTCTCAACAACACCCTTTTGTTGATCAAGTTGAGCTTTCAAAGCATTGGCATTATCCTGCAACATATAAAAGCACACAATGAGCTTTCCATAATGTGATATGCATGGTAAGGCACTACTTTGAAGTTGCACTTTCCTGAACCATCAAATAATAGGTCAAACTCCAGCAAATTCCGAAATTTTTAATCAGCATTCATACTTACATCAATATCTGACACAAATTGAAATGTATACATGAAAACACTTCACAAAAGTCAACTAATGTAAGGTATGTCATTATCTAAAAAGTCTGAACTGATTTCAGATAATAAAAACACATTATGACCGAGGGACATGGCAAGTGGCAACCTGAATGGTCATTTCATTTCATAGACTCACAAATTTGGTCGTGATATGAGGTTATATTACTCGGAAACACAGGAAGAGTCAACATCAAGCTTTTACAGATGCTTGCATGAATGGGAACCATAAGAAATGCAAGCACGAGATATTTCATTATTATTAAGAATTGAGAAGAGGAGAAAGTAATATAACATTTAACAAAAATGTGAAAGGAAAATGAAAAAATCAACAACTTTATTTCAATGATTCAACACCCAAAAATAAACAATCATCTTCAAAAGCATTAAGCATAAATTTAGAAAAAAATAAGCACAAAAACCTTCAACAAAATGACAACGTACTGCATAAGATTTACGCCTCTTAAGTGCTTCACGTGCAAGATCTTCTTCACCTTTCTGAAGAGCAAGTTGTGCTTTACGGTACCTACATCAGATGTAAAGCACGAAAGTGGTGTTTATATACCAAATATTGTAAACAAATTAAGATAATAATTCTTTCCTACATTACCAGTCTTCAGAAGCTTGTTGTGCGGTTTTGTATTTATTTTCCAACCGCTTTTGAGATGCCAATACCTCGAGAGAGAAAAATAAAAAGGTTATTTTTCAATGCAAATAAAGTATGAGAAGGGGAAAAGACACATGACACGGATAGGGAAAACTAATACACTTTTTTGAAGTCTGTATACCTCGTATATAATCATAAAAAGTTTCAAACAACTAAAACAATAATAAGAATAAATAATAATTGAAGGAACAAAACACAAGGAAACAAATATAAACAATAATGTTTTGAAAAAAAAATCGAAAAATGAAGAAAAAAAAAAAATGTAACTAACTTGTGCTGTAGCTTGACGCATTTTAGTCAAGTCGTCATTCATTTCAAGCACAGATTGCTCCAATATTTTCTCCGGATCTTCAAAGGAACTTACGATAGCATTCGCGTATGACTGCATAACTAAGATCACAAAATCTAAACATAATGACAACAACAATGAGAATATTAAAGCTATACTTCAAAAAATAAAAACGATTGTTGCTGAGTGAATTTCTTTCACCTTGACAACTCTGGCAAACCTGTCAAAGAGGTTCATGCGAGCACCAAGAGCACCTCCACCACGCGTAGATCGCACAGGCTTCACTATCCTCATACCTTCAAGCTTAAGAACTTCCACTACAAGAATTAAAAGTACGAAAAACATTAATTAAATGAATCATAAGCTAAATGTAACGTTTCAGCAAATTAAGTGAAAAACTATGTAAGATTTCGTAATAGCGAGTAACAATTAAATTGTTTGTGACACAAAAGAAATTGAGAAAACGAAAGGCAAAAAGGTACCTCCTCCGGTACCGAAAAAGGAAGTGGTGAGAGGCTTCTTGAGTATGCAAAGAGTAGAGGAAGAGGATGAAGAAGATTGAAATGGCGCTGGGGGTAATCCTGTAAATATCTGAAGTTTCGTCGACATTTTTGTGATCAAATGAGAAAATTAGCAGTTGCAGATAGATTTGAAGATATTGAGATTTTGGGAACACTCCTCAACCTCACTCCTCCTCTCGCTGCTGACCCATGGTTTGGGCCGAACCTGGATTTTATTCTCCTATCATGGGCCCATCCATTTTTCTAGGCCCAGTCTCTTTCAGTCTCATTTTTTTACTGGCCGGTCTGATTAAAGGAAGTGACTCGAATTTTTGCAGGCCCACTATATAATACATATTAGATGTTCCAAGTCTCTAACTTATTTTTACTTTTTGTTTTTGGAGTTACCCAACTCTAATTATCTCTTTGAGACGAGTTGGCTCCCTCCGGTATCTCCACGAGCTTCGACTCTTTGAGCCGGCTATCACTAATTTTATGAATTGATTTGATTTTGAATTCTTATAATTAACGTGAATTTGAAAGTTCGCTCAAGTTTAGTTGATTCAGTGTACTTAACTTGACTTTAGTTTTGATTGTTTACATTTTTCTTTTTTTATTTTCTCACTCCATTTACTCTAATTAATGGGATAAAATTAAAATTATAAAAAGTAAATTTAATTTATTTTTAAAGTTTTCTAAATATAAAAATTATTTTACATGTTATCAAAAAAAAAATTATTTTACAAATAAATTAAAATTATATTAAATTTTCAAACTTTCTTCTCATTTATTCTCTCCAATACAATTATTTAGAGCTTATAAAAACTTGCTTGATAATAAATTTTTTAGAAAAGTGTTTCTCCTTTTAAATAACACAACTTATATTCTTTCACTCTCACAAAGAGGTGAGACCCACACCTTTATATTTTTTTGTCCACTCTCTCTCCTCCTTTATCTATCTCTTTCTCCCACTTAAAATGACACAACTTTACATCTTTAAAATGATACACATTTTTCTCTACATTTTTATGACTTTCCTAATTTATTATACAACCGGAGAGATATAAGCACGGTAAGGTTGCAAATAGGAGTAGTAAACAAACCAAGGGGCCTTTGACCCGACTCGTGAAGTCCTGGATTTACATATTTAAAATTGATTATTGGAACCAGACTTGAACTTGTATAAAAGCTCATTTAATAAAAAGACCTCAGGTTCCAGTTCAAAAGTCCAGTCTTAGAGCCTCTCAAGCTGGTCTAGTGTACTAACTTTTATTTTTATTTTATATTTTTTATACTACTCGTAATAGCTCTCTCTCTATTCTCAACTCATTTCACTATATTTTATTAGTTAAATAGACTTTTTAAATAATTTTATTCTATAATATGTTGTTTGGATATACATTGAATTTATGAATATTTTGGAATTATTAGTGTTGTTGATCGTATATTCTATTTGGATAAATTTTGTTGTCTTATTTTTTTTAGAGGCTAAATCAGATTTTTATTTTTTGTAAATAAGTCAAATCACACATCGATAATTATATTCATAAAAAAATAATATGCTACAAATATAAGATAGGATAATACAATCATGTTATTTATACAATGCACGTCAAACACAAATAAAATATGAAGTTAACAAACAGCACGATAGGATTGACCCATATTATTCTACTCTCAAATTGATAACTAATCTTGAGGGGTGAGTTAGGTTAGAGTCAAACAGAATAGGATAAGAAAATTTTTCCCAAAAAAACCTTTGCCTCTTGGAACATCATAATTTGAGCACCCGAGACCCATCCCTATCACAGATCAGCCACCGCCATCAACCTATCGACCAGTCATCGCCACTGGCTACCATCACCGTCGGCGAACCCTTGATTTCAGAGTATTTATTAGCATGGCACACAATTCGCTGCAACCATCACCGTCGATGAATTTTTTTAAGAATACGGTGACTTGTTGTTTTTAACTTGTCTAAATTTTTTTGATCAATGTTGTGTGTTCCCACTATGTCTTCTAGTTTCTGCAAAAGCATGCTTTTTTTTCAGCTAACTCGGCTAGTTCTGTGTAATGCGAGTCCATAAAAGTCACAAGGATTGAGTTTGAGTTTATTTGACACTTACCCATTGTTGTTGATGAGAAGGAGAATGTGATGATCGGAAGAGGAGAATAAGGAAAGTGCAGAACTTGGTGACGCCATATGTTTTTGAATGTATTTTATTTAAAAAAAATTAATTTTAAAAAAAAATTAAAATAATAACTAATGTATAAATAAGTGAAAAGAAAAAACAATGTTTAGAAATCAATTTTAAAAATAAATATATAATTTTTTGTAGACATTTATATCATATCCCGAATACTATTTGATGCATTCCAAATATATATACGATAGGATAATACAATCATAATGTTTATACAATGCGCATCAAACAAAAAGATAAGATATGAACTTATCAAGCTCTTATCATTTCTTATTCTTATCGAGTCCACTTATTCTATGTGTTCTTATCCTATCCTATCCATTAAATGAGGTCTAAAATTATATTAAAACTCGCATTTTCTTATTTATTCCCACACTTGAAAAAAATGCTCCCGTACAAATATTTATAACTTATAAAAACTTGCTTAGAAAAAAATTATTTATATACATTTTTCATGCCTTTTCTAATTTATTATTAAAAACTATTCAGCACTGTAATCTTGATTCAGGCCAACAACGCGGTGAGCTAAATGATAAAAAATGGGATTAATGTTTTTCATGTTATGAAATATAAAATTGTCTTATATACACATAAAGATGTATAAGACCCATGTGAAATCATATAAAGAGAAGATAGGAAAAAAAGAAAATATAAACCTCATACTTTTATGTGTGTATATGAGATAAAATTATTTTCTAAAACATGATAAACATTAATACTTAAAAAAAATATTATTATCGTAGTGCCCCGGTGGTCAAATAACTTTAGACTACCAAGATTGTCTAAAAGGAGATAAAGTTAAACCTAAAAAAATAGTGACAACCACAATTTGAATTTTGAAGGCTAGATAAGGCTATAGAGATAACCACAATTTGAATTTTGAAGGAGAGATAAGGCTATAGAGATAACCACAATGTATCTCAAAAGAATTCAACAAAATAAGAAGAAACTGTCAATAATAAACTTTAAATTAAGAATTTGGATAAACCCTAACACACATACTGCATTCTCACAGAGGAGTTAGAGAGAAGCACACAAACCAGTATCATGGGAAACTCATTGCAACCTCATGGACATGTGGAGGCCAACAAGGCCATTGACGTTCAAGCACAGGGTAAAGAGATAACATGCATGATTTGCATCGAGCCCTTTTCTCGAGGCAAGCTTTTCAAAAATAACGAGCGATGTGTGCACCCTTTTTGCATGGACTGTATAGCCAAACACATAGAAATCAAGGTAGAGAACAACACAGGGAATATCCCATGTCCTGCCTTGAACTGCGAGCAATTGTTAGACCCTATCTTTTGCAGGTCAATCATCTCCGAACAATTGTTTGTTAAATGGTGTGATGCTCTTTGCAATTCAGCAGTTTTAGAGATCCAAGACAGATCATATTGCCCATATCAAACATGCTCAGCTTTGGTTATCAACGAGTGCAAAGGCAAGTCTGTGAAGAAAGTACAATGCCCCAATTGCAAGCAATACTTCTGCTTCAAGTGCAAGACTTCGTGGCATGCTGGGTATAAGTGCAAAGAGAATGGACAGCACAGGGATAGGAATGATGTTTTGTTTGGAGAACTCGTGGAGAGAAATAGGTGGCGTAGATGCCATAAATGTGGTCATTTTATTGAGCGTGTTGGAGGTTGCAGAACTATTCACCGCAGGTTATCTTGTTGCTCAGTTTAATTTTCTTTCTCCTTTGTGTTTTTCGATTTCCCAATGACATATTATTTGTTATCCAATGTAGATGTGGTGAATCCTCTTGCTATACATGTGGAAAACGGGCTCACTTGTGTGTTTGCAAGGACAAGAACAGGTTATTTGTTATTCAACGGTTTGCTTTTCTGGTATATGATTTCTGCCATTACTGATATGCCTCCTTGGATGAGTACATGTTATTTCAAAACTTGTCGATTCACGGGGATTACATTAGTAAGTCATGTTTTCTCTGAGCTTATATATGATGATAATATATGGGAATTTGGATAGTATCCTGATAAGAGTAGTTTATGATTTATGTTATCTCTATTAAAATCGGACATATTACATATTTGTGGATGATTTCTGCCTAAAGTTATTTTATCAATTTTGGAAGATTAGCAAAAGATGCAAACCCTGGGAATGAGTATAATCAAATCACCAGATATATTTGGGCTCTGTTTGATTTCCATTTCATAAAACAGATTTTTTTTTTTGTTTTGAGGATAGAAAAACAAAAAAACTTGTATGTTAATCAGTATTTCGTAAAAGTTCCGAAAATAACATCTGATTTTCAGTATTTAAAACCAAATTTACGGAACACATTTTCATGTTTTGATTTTGTGTTTCAATTTTTTACTCCCAAAACAACAAAAACACAAAAAATAAGAGATTCATTAATGGTATCATGGTAATTATTTGAAAATAAAAAAGTAAAGATTAACATTATGTCAATCTCAATTATAAGCTGTATTGTTCTTGTAGCCGCACAATATGTTCTTTTGGTTTTTGGTTTTCTATGTGATTGATAACTTTTTTTTTTTTTTTTTTTTTTGCAGACTCTTTTCTTTTGCTTTAAAATCACGTTCCGGAAACAAATCATACCAATCTATTTTTTTTTTGTTTTTTAACTTTTAAAATTATTTTCAAAATAATGTTATCAAATGAATCCTTTTCATTTTTATTCGACAAAATAGTTTTTAAAATTTATTTTATAAAATAATTTTAAGAACAAAAAATCCAAAACACAATCAAATTGATTCTTGGCTTGACTTTCATAAACAGAGGCGTTTTGAACATCCGGTTCAAACATGAGTTAGAACTAAACGAAGTTTCACATCCTCGTTGTTTTTTATTACTTAACTTGCAGGCTTTCCTAACGAGAACAGACAACCTCTGATCAAGCTCAAACTTGTTACAGTGAGAGATATCTCCCTTCAGCATCATCAGTAGCCCACAAAATGAAATATTTATCTCCCAACAATCCAAAGCAAATTAAAAATCAGATG